GGGGGGGGGGGGGGGGGGGGGGGTGGGGGGTGTGTGTTGGGTTACTGAGTGGCTGCTTGTTTTTGTGTCAGAATCTATGTGTATCTTCCTGGGGGTTAGGCAGGGGTTTTTCTTCTATTGAATTGCACTCTCCTGCACTCTGAAGATGCCGGTCACAGGTGCTGGTGAAACGTTAGGAAACAAAACTTCCAGAACACGGCCACACAGCCCGGAAGACCCACACCAGCCATTAGTCAAGTAATCTTTGGGTAGTATGGCTTACAGAACCTAGTAAGTTGACTTATGGTTCTCACTTGAAATCAGAATATTTAGGCACATTCCACTCAGAATTGCAGCAAGAGGAATAGGTAAAGAGCTTATATTTCCTAGGTCTTCCTTCAAGGGTTGGGGATCCTGCTCAAGGAACTGTGGGACCTAGTTTTTGGGTTTGCCACCTGAAAGAATTATGTCTGTGATATTCCAAAGTTTTCTTCTTCGTCTTACTAATGTTATTGTGATGTTGATAAGCACGATCAGTTTCTGGCACTGAGCGATTCCGCAATGTACAGTTTGCCTTCTGAGCGTTGTTGTCCATCTGTGCTGGAAAGTTGGATGAGTTGGCTGACAGGGAGCTGCAGGCAATCCACTGGCATCTTGGAGAGAAATATGCGGCAATCACAAATCCATTTATGTTGCATCAAGCCGTTTATGCCTGATATAATGACTGTTTTATATGCCCTGCATGTTGTGAGAAGGGATCTGTTTTGTAAAAGCTCTTGGCTGTTACTATTGTTGAAATAGCACAGAGAAATAAAATGAACAAATATTCAAAGGACCTTTAAAAGAGCGAGTTTTATTGTGCAAATGTATGCAGAAATAAAATTAATATAATATAGAGAAAGCTTATGAAACACATTTGACTAAATTTCCACTTTCAGTGGGAACATACACAGCTGAAGTGTGATCTAAGAATAGTTCAGATCCAAAGTCTAGGTAGTTCAGAAATGTTTTCTTTTCGGTGCCGCACGTTGCTCCACTGTCATTGGAGTCAAGTGACATGGTCAGGGTTTGAACACCAAACTACACCATGTTTTCTTGAATAAAGCCCAATGAACTAGGTTCACACTAGATGTCAAGCTATAAACCATGGTTTCAAACAAAAATGGCTGAGTTCACAAAATATGCTAGACCCAGTCCAAACAAGGGTGGCATTGCATGATTTTTAACCTTTAGAATCTAAAAGAAACAATGATAGGAACCATTCTAAAAGCTTCCTTATTTATTGCCTCTAAATGTTCTGTATATAAGACTGCTGCTAAATATTCTGTGAGTACTGAGCATATTTGGGCTTTATTGACAGAGGGCTCAAGTAGCATGACCCTGGTTCAGTCCCCCCCCCCCCCCCCAAGTTCTGTTGCCCTCTGGTTAAGTTCAGCACTATTTCTTCACCTTAAATTCCCATTAGGCTACTGTGAGGGTAAAATAGGAGGCAGGGGACCATATAAATTACCTTGGATTTCTGAACAGAAGATGGGATATAAATGTAATCAGTAAATCAAAACCATATATCACAGTGAATTTTCTATAGGACTGACATATTGACATTGATTGATTATTAATCTTTAAAAACACCATATTCCCATACAGCAATTTTGTCATGTATTTTTTTTCCAACCAATGCAATGCGTATGTTTGTACACAAACACAAATAATCCATATTTTATAAAACTTCCTGGATTTTGTCACCCTTTCTTCTTCCCTTGGGCCTATGATTCCATTAAATACATTTTTAATAAATTATTATATTAGAATAGATTTAAGCTGCCGTTGATTGCCTGATGAAAAAAACCCTGCTTTTTTTAACCTATCTTTGTTGTTGTTAAAACTTAACAGGTTCCAACTTAAGTGGCTTGAATCATATGTAATTCTGATCAAAAGTTAGAACAGTGAATTGAAGCCTGGAAACTTTAATATGAGTTTGGTGGTCTCAATTCAATCTTCACTGGTGTAAAGTTGTCACTGTAGAGCAATTTAAGCTTAGAACATTTGATAGTGATTGACTGCCATTGCAAAAACAGAGGTCCATCCCTGAAAACAATCAAAGGAAATTGTTTGCCAGTAGAAAAATAATCTTGCAAGAATATGGTTTTTCCCAAAGGGTCAAGAATGGGTAGCTCATACAATTTTTTCATTGTTTTTGTCTTTTCAAAGAGATAAGAATTCAAAAAGCAGGTAGTCATGTATGTAATTAAAATTGCCTTTTTATATTGTACCCTGTGTGGCAGTCGGTTCTAATTTTATCAATAGATAAGATGAAGAGAAAAGAACACCTTAGTTTTTTAATGAAGCACGTGTATTAGTAGCACCCTCTTGAAGTAACCTTTTTTTGCTCTGCTTGATTTATTTATGAGTGCTTGGTTGATAGTAATGTCATTCTTAACCCCATCCTGCAGGATTTAAATTAGATGTGCAAATTAAGCCTATCTACTTTGGTTGCATTGACTTCATTGGTCCCATCCTCCCAGCAACTCTTGCAAAAGGCAGCAAAGATGATGGGGTTACAATTTGGTTTTGCAGCAACCTGATTCCACAGCTTTTCCTCCCCCCCCCTCCCCCCCCATTAGCTCTTGGCAGTTCTCCCTCTTCTTCCACTTTTTCCTGAATACAATTGTCGTATACTTTGTCTTTTAAAACTACAGCTGAGATTGTGCAGTGTGGCTAAAATGCAGTTGGATAGTTTGAGGCTGATTGTGTGGTGTGTACTCAGGCAATTGGAGAGGGTTTAAAAGACAGGGATTAGAACAGTTTGCATACTGTAAGATCTGGCTACAACAACTAGATGACCTGTAGATAAAAGCAAAATCGGAATTTCCTATAGTTCTGCAAAAGTGTTAGAAAATTCTAAGCATTTCTAAGCTAGCATTTCTCAAACCTTTTGGGGTCACAATGCCCCCTGTCCTCTGCGTGTGTGTGAATTATATATTTAAAAAAATATTTTTGTTGCACATTTATTATTTCTTCGCAAACAATTTTTGAAAACAAATTTTTTTAAAAAAAATAACGAACACATGCCATTAAAGATTTAAAAATTAATTAAAAATTAATTATACAGAAATTGGTTTGGTTCTCTTTATCAGAAACGTAAATAAAATTTTAAACTATCTTTTGATTTTAATGTACAAATATAAGTAGAATTAATATATATATTCTTACCTAAAATGAAACAGAGTTCAGTACCAGGACTGAAACACAGTGATGTATCCATGTTCAAACAGAATAGCTCAATAGCTGTTATGTTTATTTCTAAATAACCAAGAGTAACCGAGTGTGCAGCTCATGTTTTTGTGAATCATACAGTTGTGCTAAGACCTACTGCAATTGTATGATTCATGCAGTCAGCATCTGGTTGAAGCAATCCAAAGCGCGATACTATTTCGAGTGTTCTAAAGCTTGAGATATTTATAATTATCAAAGTATATGTTTACAGTTTTACACTCTTAATAAAATATGTTGGATAAGTTACATGTAATCTTTTGTTATTATATAGTAAACCTAATAGTCTTTCCTGTCTCCCCCTTGCTGTCTAATGCCCCCCTGCTACCCCCTTAATGCTCCTCTGAATAATTCAAACGCCCCCCAGGGGGCGGTATTGCTCTAAGTCTTATTTGCTGCCCACCAGTGAGCATCTTGGGTTTTGCAGTCCAGATCTTGTAGTTTTAACTTTTCCTTCAGAGACATCTAGTTCCTATTCTAATCCTTAAAAGATCAAAGGAAAAAAAGTGAAAAAATTGACTGCATCCCTTTTGTTGATGGCACTGAAGGCCTCCAACTTTTATTCTCACTCTTCAAACTTGGAAGAAACAAGAAACAAACAAAAAGGGCAAACAAAAAATGTTCCCGTTCTCCCTTTCCAGTGATATCACCACAACACAAGATGGCCTCCTGTTCTTATCTGTTCCCTTGAAATATTTAAGAAACATATTTTAAAAGGTTCCCCACTTCCCCCCACATTCAGAGATACCACTAAGCCTTTTAAAAGGCCAGGAGGCTCAGTTGTGGCTTCCAGCTCCTGAGATGTTGCCACTTGCTGACTTAGCCTGACAGGTGAACCCAGCCATTCAGCGTCTCTGGCAGGATTCTGCTTTGTTTGGGAACTGGTCGCTCACCGAGAGCCAACTTGGTGTAGTGGTTAAAGCCATCAGGCTAGGGACCAGGAGTCTGTGAATTCTAGTTTTGCCTTGGGCGCCAAGCCAGCTGGGTGACCTTGGGCCAGTCACTCCCTCTCAGCCCTGGGGAGCAGGCAAGGGGAAACCACTTCTGAAATCTTGCCAGGAAAGCTGCAGGGACTTTTCTGTGTAGTGGCCAGGAGTCAAGACTGACTTGAAGGTGCACACGCGCACACACACACAGCTCATTAATTACTATGGCCTGAGAGGAGAATAGGGTAAAACTATGGGCCTTTTCCTCTCTGTGAACTCCAGATTGTGTCCTGCTGGGAGAATTGGTCTGAGCCTCTATAACTGGACTCCTTGGGAAATTTAATTCATTGAGCATGCAGAGGTCTAAGTAGTGCAGAGACCACTCAATAAGGGGAAAACTGAAATAAACCATGTGCTTGTTTATTCTTTGAATCCTTAGATCTGATCCTGAGACAATGTATAGCCCTGCCTTGTTACATTTAGTCCTGTTTGTTGTGCAAAACATTTGCTGAAAAGGTGCTGGAGACACAACTTTGCACGGTATAAGTGATTAGGCTCTGCTGCTACCTTTACATTTTGTAAAAGGCACCCTGTGTGATTTAACACCTTTGTTAAATAATGTATGCATTATTCTTTGACATCAAATTTAAATTATATTTCACATCCTAAGCAGTTGTCCCAAGATGTCTCTTAGAAGAAATTGGTCTGCAATTTTTCTCATGAAGTTTACGTGAGGAAATAGTTTAATCTTTTGGAAACTACATTGTATTTGCTATCTGCTATTACATGGAGACTTTTTACTAGCTGCTGTGAAAATCACTACAGTACGTCAATATCCTGAGGAATGTCACTTGGCAAGAGTGCTTGTGTGGTAACAAACATGTGAACTCCTTGATCCAATTGTGCTGCCAAAGGGAGATGAAATATTGGCATTTAGAGTTCGAACTCTGCCCTTCCATAGCTTTCATAAAAATGTAATTTCAGCAATGGTGCTCAGAATTACCTGTTGTACTGTGGTTTTTAAAAATGAGCAAGAATCGCAGAGAGGATGTGCAAATGTATGTTTAAGTACAATTGATGTAATATGCAAATGACATGCTTTTTATTTTGGGCTTCAGGAGCTGTCAGTCCAGCCCAGTTATATGCTAACATCTGAACTGCTTCTGTAAGAAATAATCTGAATGGTACCAGTGCCCTCTGCTGGACATAATATGCAAGTCTCTTTGAATTCCATTACTCCAGAGGACGCCTCTTGGCATCTTCGTACTGCAGCTACGACTGCTAAGAGCCTGCAGCTTCCCAGTGGTATCAGATGCAGCACAGCAGAATCATGTTAACTTAAGCATGACACTGAAGTACAGAGTTTAACTGTTCCTCTCTTACGATGCAACAAACCTACATCAATATACATTTTTCCTCCAGTGCAAACGAAGGATACTCTAGTATGTATGATGTGTTCACCAGCAATTTAATATATTATTTTTAATATTGTCTTTGCAGAGCTTCTGGAAAAATCATTGAGACTCTTAAACAAAAGCCATGACCTAACTGAATTCATACAGGAATTCAAATCTGATGGGCCAAACACAAATCCAGAATTCATTCAGGGAGCCCACAATAGTTGTTTGAAAATTGACGTTCTCCTTGAAGTTCTACAAGACAGGAGGAGGCAACTGGACAAACACTTGAAGCTGCAGTGTGAAGGACTAGAACAAGTTTTGCAAATCTGTCAGTGGCATTACCAGGAAAACCAGGTATAGTCTGGAATGTTTCTATATGTAAAGTATGTGCACTCGGTTGTGTTATATTAATCTTGAATTAACTGTTTTCCAACTTTCTGTCTTCTAGATCTGTTGGACTAGAATTCTCAGTATTCCTAGCTAGCACAGTCATTTGCAAAACTGGATGAGAAGGGAATGGGGGAATGTATCAGACTGGAGCAGACTTTTTTACAATAAGGAACACTGACAAAGTATGCATAAGAATTTAATTAGTGAATCCACATGAGTAACACAAATCATATAGTTCTAATTTAATGCTATTGTAAGAATACTAATCTTCTTTTAAATGCGACTGAGAGTCTAGGACTCATGACTGGAAATTATAGCAAAATAATAACAACATGAATTCCAGTCTAGTATCCAGTACAAGGATTAATTCCACTCATTAAATTAATCTAGAATGAGACTACAGCTTGACTGACATAGACTATACACAATCCACAGTCTTTCTTTTTTCAGTTCTCATTATTAACTTAAATATCTTCAAAAGACAGATAGAAAAATTAATGGAGGCTATTAGTGATAGTGCTTATGATTGTACCACACATTGAATCATCAACTAGCCAACCATATTTTAACATACAGGTAGTCCTCACTTACCAACTGCAGTTGGGACCAGCAACTCCATCACTAAGTAATGTGATTATAAAGTGAAAAATCATGTGACCACTCCTGACTTACGACAGCAGTTGTCAGTTCTGGCTACGGTCATTAAGCGAATCACCGCAGATCTTTAAGTGCAATGTCTTGTGACTGCAACTTGCAACCTTCTGCTGGCTTTTCCATGACTTTGTTTGTTGGAAGCCAGCTGTGAAGGTTGCAAATGGCGATCAAATGACCGCAGGATGCTGCGAACGTCATAAATGGGTGCTGGTTGCCAAACACCCAAATCGTGATTACGTGACTGTGTAGATGCTGTGACAGCCACAACTTCAGGGACCAGTTATAAATCTCAATATTCAGTGCCATCATAACTTTGAATGGTCACTGAATGAATGGTCGGTAAGCAAGGACTACCTGTAGTATATTGTGCCTTTGTGGTTAATGTATGGGTTGATGTGTAAGCCTCAAAATTTAGGCTGAAGCCAAAAGCTGGGGGCAGGCAGCCTGCTACACATGGCCCCAGTTGTGATCCCCCGAGTTAATGGGGAAGCATTGGGCATTTTAAGGAGCAAAATGGGGGCATTCTTCTGTACCCCCAAGCAGCCCAAAAGAGACCAAAAGTAGTTGCCCAGCTGTATTGCAAACTTAACTTTGAATAAATATTGCATTACCTCCAGGATGGAAGCCAACCTCTGTATTTCACTTGTTGGCGAACATGAATAGAACTGGGCAATTGCTTTCCTTCCCATTTGTAGCTATCTTGGTTGGCCTCTCTGGGAAACAGGATGCTGCATGAGACGGATTTTCTGTCTGAATCAGCAGGACTTTTCTGAATCATTCTGCAACAGAGAGATGAGCAACTAACACCTACTTTTCTTTGGGTGAAACAGCTTTTTAAATTCTATATGGCTTGAACATGATAAACATGTTAAGGTTTTAAACTTTCTGTGACCCTTCCTTTTATTCACTGGAAAGCATGACTAACCTCCCGAGATAGCGGTTCATAGTAGAAAAAGGGATGTTAATTTAAACTGAAAAGCCATATAATATTATGCAGAAATTATCTTTACAGATGATGTACAGAAAGTGTTTTATGTTCTTTGAAATACTTGACAGACTGGGCAAATAAATTAAATATGTAAATGACAGTATTAGTTTACTGTGGATGCTTCTCAAGGGTTTCCAAACAGCCCCCTGGAGAGTGCCATATTACCTGTTTTGTAATGCACTATGGGTATATTATAAATCACAAATTGTTCTTTGCATTTTTATATAAAATCCCCCAAGTAAAGTCTTATGAATATGCCTAGGCTTGCTAGCAAACTTTGAAGCATCCATCAGATGCTCATAATTGCCTGTGGGAGGACTAGATTTACCAGTTTCATGACTAGATTGATCTCTATCCAGAATGACAAATCCTGTGTTCCTTCAGAAGCATCATCTTCAGTGCCTTTGGCTATAAACTGATAGCTGAAAACAAATCCTCATTTTGAATTAATATAAAGGAGATAAATTACAAACCATGATGTTGCAGCCATCTCTATGTTAAGTCATTACAATATCACAAATTACAGTTCCTAAGACTCAGTGAAACACAATCTTGCTTGTTTTGTTATGTCTCCTAAGAAAAGTCAGCCTTGGAATTTTCCAAGATTGATTCTCATTGTTAAAAAACAATGTTGCAAAATGAATTTATCAAAGTAACTTGGAAAAATAGGTTTGGTGAAAAGTATGGCTTCTTAATACTTTTTGTTTTTGTAGTAGCTAACATAAGGTTGCCAGGAATGAAATTTTTGTCTCCTTCCCAATTATTTAATTGTCCATCTTAAAAGAAGAGAGACAGCAATAGCTGAGGTGGGTACATCCATCTTATTGTGTGAATCCATCTTTGCCATTTGGATATATACTTGTTCTTTGTAAATGATTTTTTAACAGTCCCTCTCTAACTGCCTTTTCAAAGCTGTTTCTTGAGATAATTGGCTCCTAATCATTGTTTTATGATAAGATATTTGATAAGATCTCATGCATAGGTATGATACTAACATTATGTGGGGTTTCCAGTCATAGGGGAGTTTATAGGTATGTTAAGTAGAATACGGTTCCAACCCTCCTTTTCAGACCTTGGCAATTAGAGGGGACTGTGTACCAAAGATACTTGGAGTGGGAGTTGCAGGTAACCCAGACATGTGCTTAGATTAAGCTGTTGCACACACAGGTGTCTCCCTGCATAGCATTAATCAATTAGTAGTCAAATATTTCTTCCATTTTTAGAATCACACTTTAGTAGCAGTAGTAATATCTAAGTTTACTCTGATTCAATAGCTCATGAGGAACAATAGCTCATTAGGAATAGACTTTTAGGCATGAAGGTTGAAAAACAACATAATTTTCTTAACTTATAATTGCAATGCAGTATTCTGAGCAGTTTCATAATTGTTGAATGCTGTTCTCAGTCAAATATTTTCAATAATGCCCCTGCATTAATGAAAACCAAGAAGCAGACAGAGCTATTCTACCCATAATTATCTTGGGAAGTACATTCATTGTTAATGTATTTTTCTTAATGCCTTCCAACCATACTCTTATGAAGTGAACAAATCAATCAGTTATTCAAGGATCTTAGGTTTGTTTATTCAAATCTTGTAGCTCTAAAATGAAGATGAAGGTGGTGGATTTGCCCTGATACGGCAGGAGCCTCCGTATAGTGGAGCTTTTTTCTACTAGCAGAAAATCACATTTGTTGCATCCTAATTATTTTCAGACATTATTAACAGGGAGAGAGGAGTTAGGATCGCATTGTATTTTAGATAGATTACTACCTAATTACATTCAATATAGTTAAACATTTTAATATTTCCTCATATTATTTCTGCTGCAGCCATTTCATGTAAAAACTGACATATAGAAGGGGAAGTCTGTGTTTATTAGTTTTTAATCCCTGTATTGATCAAAATTCTAACAGAAAACAAGGTTTAGGAAAAGGTAACCAGTATATCAGCCAAAAGCAGTATGCACCCATTTCTTAGTAGGTGAAAAAACAGAATTAACAAGACTTGGAGCCTTTCCCCACTTGCATCCAACCACAGGATGAATGTGGCCTGGCAACTGCTTTTTTCTGATACGTCCTTCTGATGCTTCCTTTATCTTACCCCCATCCCATTCACGTGATAGTTTAAGTAAACTGTACCAGCGTCAATGTAGTCTTTTCCTCCTTAAACTAGCAATAATCTGTGGCAGTGTTAAGCCTTGTAAATAAAATTAATTTTTATTAGTTTTTACTTTGCTGTTTTTACTTTTCTTCTGGAACAAGTAAGGATAGACAAAGAACTGGATTTCTATAGCTGGTTCAAATGTGAAGGTTTTTATCCTTTAGTTGCATACTTTTCCTACGTTGTGGATGCTCCATTCTGCTCACTAATTTCCATGCAATTCCTGGTTGCTAATAGTGATTAGGTTAGGCCTCACAATATTAGGCTGGTTTTTCTGACTTCCTCTCATTAAAGTGCAGAAATTGAGGCACACCTCTAAGGGACTGGCCTATATCTGGGATCTCCAGTGTAGCAACCATGAGCACCAGTGCGCACCTAGAGAACCTCTTCTGGTGCCCATGAGGCCCTCTACCTCTCTCTTTTTAAAAATATTAAAGCATTATTTTAATATTAAGCAAAATTACAAAAGAAGCTGGTATGCTGCAACCACTAGCCTTCAGAATCATCCTTACAGAGAACGGATTCTTGGCTTCTTCATAAGGCCCACTGTGGTTCTTAGAAGTACAAAAGGTAAATGGTTGCAGTTCACTACTTTCCTGGAAAATTAAAAAAAGACAAAAGTTGTCATGGAATGTGGATGAACACCAATCAGTTTTTTCATTCAGCTTTAGATGAGTTAATAGCTAAAATATATTAGTTTATAAGTTCTGTCTTATCCGTTGTTCTTCTTTAGATATGTATATTTGTCCATGCTTTTGTTTCTTTGCATACTATTAGAAAATAAAAACTTAGATCAGTGATTTCATATGTTTCTCACTTCGTTGCCAGTTTTCAGAATCAACTTTCACTCAAACAGTTTTGTAGCATATTATCAATCTATTAAAAATACCCAGGAGAAAAAAAAAACTCTGTGCATGCTCTTAGAGTCCTCTTCTTTAAAAGGTTTCTTTCTCTACCACTAGTTATAGGAGCAAGGAAAAATTGCAAAGCTGATGGAAAGCGAGAGATTAAGTCTCTTGATAGTAAGCTGTAGGTTGATACTGAACATCTTGGTGGTCTAGAGATTGTGGTACAGAGCAATTTGGTAGAGAGCAAATTATTTTCTGATAATTGATGTTTTGTGTTTGACTGTACTCACTGTGGTAGGCACTTTGTGAATGAGCAAGTACTCCTTAGGGGAGCCATTTTCTTGGAGCACCCATTGCTTGCTAAAAAAAAAATGTCATATGTACCAAATGATTTCAAAAGGTTGGGATTCCTCGCCTAGGCTAAGGAGCCATTTCTCACACAGACTTCTTTTTCTAAAATCAAATCTAATCAAATCAAATCTACATAGAAAACATACTGTCAATCTTATAGTCTTCCTCTAAAACACAATTTGTGGAGCAGGGATGACCTGCAGCATGCTTCAGATTCATATGTCACTTCTTCCCATTTCCCTTCATTCATGTTCAAGGGGAAGAGTTCAGTCATTCCTGCTATTATTTAGCAACAAACCATTGTTTCCCTCAATTGAAATCCTAAACCATGGCTTATAATTTTGGATCCTGATTTTGGTTGCCAATAGATGCCTGGGTACAATTCAAAATCCTGGTTTTAACCTATAAAGTCCTATATGGCTTGGCCTTGAGTAAATTCAAGGCAGACTCCTCTAATCAGATTCAACCAGTCTGAGGTATCTTTCTCAGGACTAATTGTTGGTGGTGCCCCATTACCTGGAAGTTGGGGGGCAGGCAGACTTGGAGATGTGGTTTCTCCATTATGACTCTGATCCTCAGGAATGGCCTCTCACTGGGTGTGACATGGGCTCAAAATATAATAGTTGTTAAGAAGCTCCCTAAAAGCTCCCTATTTTTTTTTTTCTTTACCCTTATGAACCTCTTTCAGATTTCCCCCTTTTTAAGGGTTGTCCTTTATTTTTTCCAAGAAAATACAGTCACTGTACTCTAAAGTGAAAGGGAAAATGTCAAACCTTCCTTCTTCAAAAAAAAAAAAAAAAAAGGAAAGGAAAGGCTCAGTCTTATAATGATAAAGCTTAGTTTGCTGTCGTTCCTCAACTGAGCCACTGCATTTTCCCTGTTAGATTCAAATTAAATCCCAAGTTTGTTGGGAGAAAAAATATTTGAGCATTTATCCACCTCTTCAGATTTTTTATTTAAAAATAAAATCAGGAGTTGAATGTGGAACAACATCAAAATGAATAAATTGGAAGCGCTCAGAAAGAAGCTTTGTGGTATGACATCAAATTAAAATTTAATTACATTAATTATCCCTCTTTTTATCCCATGCTACTCTGAACGCCTTAGGTAATTTGCTGAGTTTGTGGTTGAAGAGTTTATTGGAAACGTTCTTGTTTACTTTCAGAATATTCTTAGCGGAATACTTTGTAGCTGAATCATTAACAAGACGGAAGATGGAGTCTGTCCAGTGTAATTAGGCACAGTGAAATCTCACTGAAATTAATGGGATTTTAAAAGGTAAAGGCCTTTCAAGGGAAGATGGACTTCTAGTGATTTAGTGACAATACAGGCAGATTTCTGGGTTCAGGGTAATTAGGTCTTGGATCGTGGTCTATGTGTGGGTAATTATTCAATACGTAGTTAAAATAAGAGACCTGCACTTTAGCGTGTACTATATTACATTTTATTTGCGTATTTGGACTGCTGTGGAATTAATGAAGGATTATGCAGGATCGATTTCTACACATTCACTGGAGCCCCAGTGAATACTGCCATATGAACAGATTCTATTTTCATAATTACTTGAAGTCTTTACGTGATGCCATCACTGAGTTCCTTTAGGCGTATCTTAGCTGAGGTGTAAAATTGGGAGCAAAGAGCTAGTGGTCATCCTGGCTTTGTAGCCCAGAAATGATGTGCCTTGTCTACTTAGCCCGGTTCTATCATGGCTACCCTCTAGGAACTCAGGGCAGTAGCATTGTGATTAGTCCTACTTAGTGTTTTTCCTCCCAATAACTTTGTACAATAAGTCAGGCTGAGAAAAGTGACTGGCCTGAAATCATCCAGTAAATTTCATGGCTGAGGCATTTGGGCCTGTTTCTCCTCAGACCCAATCAGGGCCAACTGCAGGGTGTAGTCAAAAAAGTCAAGATGGCAGACAAAATGGTGTGATGGAAGTCCCACCTGTTTTTTATGTGCCTTGCTTTGATAGCACTCTTCTGGCCGCCATTTTGACCACAACCTGGGCAACCCCCAGTACTAACTCAACAGTCCTTCCACTATACCGGCATGAAGCAGCAGCTGCTGGGGAAGGTTGTCACTTTGTGCCACTTTGCAGAGGAGAGGTCAGTGTGGATTGTGGGACTGCTTGTCTTTGATCTCAGTTGTGCATCAGATACCAAGTTACTCCTCATGGTCTCCACTACAGTTGAGTGCAGTCAATTTCTGGAAGTGGAATCATGGGGCATCCCGCTTGCCTTTGCTCCAAACCCCATAATGTCTAGAGTGTAAATTGTCTTAGTCCTCATCATCCATTTGTGTGGATCACGCAGTTGTGATTCTGCTCCTTTCTATCATGCATTCATAGACTGCCTAAAGGAGGCTCTGGCTGAAACTAAAATGAATTCAGCAATTTAAAAGGCCATTTAAAAGTATTACATAACGCAGTTCTATGTACAAAATGTTGCAATGAGGCAAAATGAAAATAAGAATGTACATTTATATGTCTATTCAGAATTAAGCTCAGTTAAATTAAATTAAATCCACTTGCAAATGCCCATGCTGCAATGTTGATGGGAACTGTAGTCCAACGTATTTGGAAAACAAGGTTGAATAAGCAATATCAAGAGAAGATTAACATTCTAATGCTATTTTTTTCTGTTTATGGCTTCACTATGTTAAATACAATATTTTAATATTATTTTGATCTTTGAAGAAAGGTGTATATTGTTTTATGGCATTAAGCAATTTTTGGTGAGTAATGGAAAAGTTCTTCTCTAAATAGTGGTGTTTGCTTTTGTCAGAATGGTGAAATCACAGTGTTGTGCTGCAACCCCTGCCCCTTTGGGGCATACACACAATGTTGCAGTGTCTGTAGAAAAGGGGCAGGGCTTGCCTCCTCAGGACCTAATACTGTTTTAATCAGTCTGACCCTTTGCCCCCGCCATCCCCATTTAGCATTTTTGAGCAAGATGCGATTCACTGAGCGATTGAGAGAATATGGCAATGGCTGCCCCATCGTGGGACCCAAGATTATAAATGATTGGTTCTCTACATTGCTCGAGATAATAGGCCACCACACATTTCAGATTGGGTAGGGCATAATGCCCAGTTCTATCCTGACTATTTTCCAGGATCTCAAGGCAGTGGAGCTAAAAGTGCCCGGTTATTGTAAAGGGGAACCTAATGATATGTACTGTACGTCCTATCAACCCTACTCATTTCAGAATTGTTACATGATGATTGAGAATATCTTTGCCACAGGCAAAAACCAATTGTGGCTGGATTCACATATCATGCTAAATTCTGATTTATGTAATCATGGTTTATGGAACAAACCACAGTTGTCTGAGTTCATACAACAACATCTAAGAAATTATCTTTTGGCTTAACACAGTAAGTAAACCTCTATCTGCCAGTCCACAAGAGAAGAGCCTGTGTCAGCAGATTCTCTCCCTACTGACCCAGCCTCTGTGAAGCTTTTTGCATACAGTATTCATTTAAAAGATTATTTCTGATTTCAGATAACCTCTTGGTACAAGAAGAATATAAAAGATTACTTTAATAAGCAAAACTTGGGGTCATCTTTAAAGGAAAATGAAGCATTGCTTCTGGAACACAAGGAAATGGAATATAAGGTTAAAGTAAGACTCTTTATCTGAAGTGGTCACATTGCAGTTTTCCAATCCTTTATGGAGTATTCTACTGATGTTTTGGGTTTTTTTTTTTAGAAGATTGCAGTTCTGTTTAAGACATTGATTTTTAAAACATTTATCTAAGGTTACATAATCTGGTTACCATTATCTTTTTTTATCATTGCTGTTTTCCTGTTTCAAGATGAAGCTTTTATTACTCCTTGTAAGGAAGCATTCTTCTCAGCTCAGTCTGAAATTGCCCTGTTTCTTCTACCAAATTCTGCAGTATGCTTGAGGGTAGAGTAAAAGTCAACAATAAAAATCGCATTATACCAAAAAATAAAAAATAAAAAATTTAAAAGCCAATGAAATGAAATCATAAACCTGGTTCATAAAAAAACATAGTTCAGGGATTTCATGCAATTCAAAGACCGAAAGGCTACCACATCCACAACACGCACAGATGCACACACTCAAACTTCATTTCTAGGAACATAAGTGTTCGCAGCTTCTTCCCTCCCCACCATTTTATCTACATAAGTTAAGTTAATGAATAGTGACTAGTGCAAATCATCCAGTAAGCTCCATGGCTAAATAGGAATTTGAAGGTAGATTAATTCTGGCTTAATGCTGTAACCTGTGGATTAGGACTCTAATCTTTGGCCCCACTCATATGTAAGCATCCCTGTTGAGCTCATGATGCCTCAAATAAAGTCCGGCCATTTTGCAAGAGATTTCACTTTTTTTGCTTGCCCTCATTTTTTTCTTTCCCTTGGGAAAGACAGGGAACCTCACCAAGACAGTCCCTTGTGAGTAGGAGGAGTGACTTCCCACATGCTCCTTGCACCCAGAGAAACTGTCTCCACATGTGACATGGCTTTGGATCCCTACATTGTCCTCTCTATTGAGCAGCTGAACCAATTTCCTTCTTCCTCAGCTATGACACAAGAAGAACTCCTCTGAATAGGGTTTTCAAGCAGAAATGCCAAAGCTCAGTGTTTCTCGCTTGGCTGTGAGGAAGATAAATGAGGATCAGCAGGAATGGTTTCTGGTTTGGGAAGTACATACAGTAACAATGTGGAAGGGATCTCAAATCTTATATTGAACAGTTACAATGAGATGTTATTTTGAAGCACAAAAAGCCTCTTAGTAAAAATGAATATATATGGCCAACAATTATAATGATACTTTATCCAGTTTATTAAGTAATTTGTTTCACAAGCCTGATTTTTTAGTGTTTTAAATGCTGATACCAGTTTAGAACATGGTAGCAAACTGTTCAGAATTAGGAAGAAGAGTAATATTGCTCTCCCTTCTTAGTGAAATTATATTTAGAATACTAATCACCTATGCATACAACTTCATTACAATTATTCTGACTTTTTTTCCAGTGGTGGACTGGACATATCTTCAGACTACTATAAGTCTGTATTAAAAACATCTTAAAATGCCTGTAATGTTAATGTGTATGCATTTTTATTTAGGCTGATGAATGCAAAATCAAATGGAACAATAACAATTCACCTGTACTGGCCAAAATACACGTGCTGTTTCTGGGCCCAGAACTTTTCTTTCACAAATAGCTGAGGGTGATGCAGACCATGGTTCTGATGTGAGGAGGTGCACAGCTTGAACTCATTGCCCATTGCATTCCCAACCTGGTTGGTACTTCTCTCCCGCACTTGCCATTGCTTAGGGGAAAACCTGTAAATTGGAAACAGATGATACAGAGGGTCATGTGTACCATCGATTCCAAACTGTCTTCCAGCTGGCACTAAAGCTGCCACTATGGGAGCAAAGGCGCTGATGTTATCTGCAGAAAGATGAACTTCATGAGCTGCCCTGTCTTTGAGCAATTATCCTTTTACTTTTTAAAGATTTATGTTAATATTCCAGCTTGAACTCACTGGAGCTGTTTTTCTAATATGGTTACAACATTTTTATGGACCAGCTTTTCATCTGTAACCTTTGAGGTTACTGTTGATAAAGTTGGTTCTTTTGTTTTAAATTATTTTACAAAATGAATTGCATAGATATTTCTCAGTTTTCCCCATCATTAGCAGAATTGTGTGCATATTTCATTCCAGTATGCAAGTTATTAAATTTAACAAGGGGAAAAAAAACCTCAGTTAACATAGACTATCTGTCTAGACTTTTAGCAAAATCTTCTATACAAGACCTAGTATGTTCAGTACAATTCAGTCCTGCTCCATTAAGAGGAGAAAATCATTCCAGCTGAATTCCTGCTTAACAACTTCTCTTGTTTGCAACTAGACTTTCAAAGGAACATTTGTTTTTCTTAGCAAGTGCATGATTTTGAAAGCCCTACAACTTCTTGTGAACAAATGGTCCATGTTTTTATTTTTATTTTTATTTAGTAAAGTATAATTTCTTCTCCATTTTCACCCTATCTTCTTTTAACTTTTTAGAAACTTCAAGTTCAATCTAGAGATCTATCAGGGGTTGAGAATGGAACACGGAAAGTAGCAATTTAAAAGGTTACTTACTGTGAAGACATAAAGTGAAATAGGATGAACTGTTCTGTGGAGAATCACTAACGATAGGTTATATGTAGGACTATATGTCTTTAGAGTTATTCAAAGAAATTGAAAAGGCACAGCAATAGCAGACTTTTATTTGGTTTGGGTGAAAACATGTAACTTCATTTTCTTGCTACAAATATCACTCAGTCTTCAAAACATAACATTTATGGCCATTTTAGACCACCCCAAATGACACTGAATTCTGTGTGATAAGTAAGACATGTGCAAGAACTCATCCTATAGTTCAGAACTTTTTCTCAATACCTCGGCAGATGTCCAAGACCAAGAATCTTTGTCCATGGGGCTATAGGAAGCATTTATCTGGATAATGAGTTACTTATCGCATGATCCCTGTATTTAGGCACTGAGTACAGAATCCATGAAAGGCCCTCTAGAACAAGCAATATCCTTAGAAGCTGATGTATGGGCTGGCCAACTTATGATTAGCCTTACTCCAAAGGAGACAATATGCATGGACACAGAGATGGATAGGCGTCCTTCAAAATGACATTAACTTCTCATTGGGGAGAGTAATTGATATGGACATAGGGTACATAAATATCTAGGGCTTCACCCCTTCTGTACTAATGGCTACCGAACACGTGAATAAGGATGAGCAACCACTAGCAGGAATGCTTTTAAATTGTCGTCTTCATAGTTTAGCATGCTCTTTGGCCCTTAGTGTAGACAAAAAAACCCCCATGATAGACACATCCACAATTCGGATATAATCTTACCATAATATGGTATATTTAATATATCTGTTGCTTTCATTGGCATCTCACTCACCTTTGCCTTGAGTGCTTCTTTCTTGAGTGCAGAAAGGCATTTGTTACATTTTAAGAGTAAATATATAAAATGTGATGTTGGCCATGTGGAATTCAAACCAATGAAAAGGCCTTACTTGGTCCTGAATAGTGTGCACACATGAATACTCATGAAGTAATATTTCAGATTGAGGGGTAAGGAATGGTGTGTGTGTAATATTTCAGATTGAGGGGTAAGGAATGGTGTGTGTGTAATATTTCAGATTGAGGGGTAAGGAATGGTGTGTGTGTAATATTTCAGATTGAGGGGTAAGGAATGGTGTGTGTGTGTGTGTGTGTGTGACTCCGAAATTCCTATAATGGAAAAAAGGACTTCATGTAATTGATAGTAGAGAATCAGCTTCTATTTTAAAATTCATAAAATGATCCTGTGTTTTTTTTAAAGAAACACATACCATTAAATAATAAATGTGACTTCTAAGTGAATGGAATGCTATCTACAGAGATTCTAAAGAATGAGGCTTTTATGAAACAGATATTCTGCCTTTAGTAGAAGTTCAGGGTTATATTTTTCCCCTTAAATTTTCAATCATTGTCCAGTATTATCATTCTGATCCAAAGGTTAAACTCTTAACCACTCTGAAGATTAAAAAAGGCAGAGAGCTGCTATGATTATTAAAGAAAATTAAATGTTAATTGAACTTTATCTACTAGGTTGGCACTGAGGAACTAACTATTGAGACCAATTTATAAGGGTTATTTCTATATAAAACTCTTTTCAATCAGTGGTTTCAACTTTTTTAAGCAAGCATTCTCCACAAATGAAATTTTAATTGGCACATGAACAGTACTGTACAACCTAGACTCTGCATTTTGTTTATGAATGGGGTTTTCTCTATCTTAATTCGCCATAAGGAGATTCTATTTCATTAGTGTCTTATTCATGGTAAGTTTGAGGATCCTGACCGGCAACTAATAATTGGCATAGATCATATTTCAAATTGAACAAGGACTGAAGAATAGATAATAAGTAATAGAATTAAGAATGCACTCATTTGCCAGGGATGTTCAACCTTAACATTTACACATCAGTGGTCAAAAATATCTGTGTAATACATCTTTCAGCCATATAAAAGAAGCCTAGCAAATGTCTTTTGCCAGTAACTATCTGAAATGAAAATAGAGTCATTTACTGAGGACTCAGTAGGTCTTCAGATATATTACTAAGGGAATGTTTGCTCCTGTCAAGCTGAGGAACAAAGCAAAGGAGAAAAAAGGCAAAAGGAATAATTTATCACAATAGTAGAATCAAAGTACTCTTGCTACCTTGATCAATAAATGAGCAATATAGTTCTTCTCACCAGCTGCTTTGTTCGCCATTGAAACATTTCATAGAGTACTACATTCATGTTTTGCAGTATTGTTCATGAGAGGCTTCTTTCCATGTCAGATTAGCTTCCCATTAGTTTCCTTCTTTGGATAGAGGTGGACGGTGGCAGAAAAACCAAATTTCTAACTGAAAAGCATTAAATACCATTGCTAGCTCATGTTTTATCAGAATGTCAAGTTACAATGACATTTTCCATTTTCCAAAAAATCTTACAAGCTTCTGGACCTCTCATATATTGATTGAGTTCACACATCATACTAACTAAACAAGCCACATTCTGGCTTAGCATGCTGCACAAATCAAATAGTTGAATGAGATCATTGCAGGTCTTCTGTTGTAGACAGGTTCTGCTTCTCCAAGACATCAGAGTTGGGCTCTTTCTCAGAAATGCTACATAAGATTTTTTAAACAGAACAGCAATCTGGAATTTTCCATATGCAAATATTGTCATTTGCCACTGTGTTATGGTATAACAAGCTTTAATTATTAGTAAGCATCAATATTCACTTGATTTTCTGTTTCCACCCATATTCTTCACAAGGGTTAATATATTATAGGAAAGATTTCACTCTAAGTAAAATAATAATAGCAAAAACAATAATAATGTATATAAGATCTTATAGCCTGAAACGGAGTCCCTTGTAATGTTAGATCAGACAATGGCTGCGTGTGCAGAACCATTTGTATCCATAATAGCTGCTTCACAGACAATGAAAAATTCTAGAATGGGTGCTATTGAACTGTTTGCTCTCCACTAAAGATGGCAGTGAGCCACTGCTCTTAAATATGGTGTCCATATTTCAGGAGATGGATTGTAATGAGGTTTTAGGATACAAACAAGCACTTAAATTCCATCTATTTTAATAATTTGGAGGCAAGCACAGTCTTATAGCGAAATACGTCAAATGTTCCTGTATTAAGTAACAAAATACAAGCTGTTGTATTTTGTATATGAAGACAAAAATGTATGAAAAAAGCTCAGTGCTATGTGCTGAATTTGTTGAGTAGGCATTTTGTAGCTCAGAAATGTATGACTTTGAACAGGAAGATTTTTTACTTCAGTCTTACTGTTATATAATCAGCAAAAGAGATAGTACTAAATAAGCATTACTATCTATTAATAATAACAACCACCACCACCACCACCACCACCACCACTTGAACACCATTGGCATTGACAAAATCTCCATCAATCAGTTGCAAAAGGCAGCTTTACTTGGAACAGCTTATATCCTGCGATGATACCATTAGCACCATCAAACCATCAAATCACAACATCTGCCTACCCCAGGTCCTTCGGAAGGACTTGATAGGTGGATAAAAATGCCAAATCCAGTCTAAACATCTGGCTGACTGTGTGACCAACCATAACAATAATAATGCCAGAGGGCATTAAATGACTAATAAATGTCCTATTCCTATGGGGAATAATTGCGGTGACTCAGCATTATTTCTGTTCTATAAGAAGCAGTATTTTACTATCCACTGTGTTCTATAAGACAGGGCCAAACTATGGGGAATAAACTTCATACAGCTCATCCATGTCTAAATGCTTGCCTGCACACAAGCAAAATATTAACAAAGGCAAGGGATGCATAACTGTTTTGGAATCAAAAGCCACCTTGATCTTTGAATGGCATACCAAGGGCCACACTCCAAAAAGTTGGCAGCACCAAGGAAAAAAAAATGGATAGGGCCAGGATAAAAAAAAAAGAAAAAGAAAAAGAAAAAGACTGAATTTAAATCGGATCAATGTATATGAATTAAGTACAGATATTCTCCATGTCTTTAATAAATTATTACTATTATTAACATCCCTTCACCTACTATTTCTTTCTTAGTTTTGCTTTTTATAGTTTTTTATATTTTTAATAATAATAGTTGATAACTGTTTTAGGTATGTATTAATTGTTTCAGCTTTATTGTACATCACCCAGAGTCATTTGTTGTGAGATAGGCAGCTATATAAATTGGATGGATGGATGAATAAACAAACAAACAAATAAATAAATAAACAAATAAATTTTTCCCCTTTTGTCATCTTAAAAATTACAATTCAGTAGCAGTTTTTGGCAAGGACCTGGAGACAGCATTTAAGTGTTTCAGGAATGTTGATTGTATACCTCTGCTATAAGCCAATTGCACAACTGGTAATTCAGGAATTTCAGATATGTAGTTATAGTGTCCCCACCATAAATGTTGATGCTGGCTCTTAATAATGAAACAGACAAATTTTCTCCGTGACAATCTGTCCCTTACCTGGTCCTTCAGATCTTTCAACTGCTCAGCCATCACCACTGTACTTGAATCCATCTGCCTTTCTACTGGTCATCCTTGTCTTCTCTTTTCTTCCACCTTTCCCAGCATTAGAGCCTTCTCTATTTTTGCTAGCACGTGAATTAAGGATATTGCACAACAGTTTGCACACTCTGTTAAGCTTCTCTTTTTGGGAATTGAAATGTAGATTGAGCTCTTCCAATCTGTTGGCCAACTCTGTTTGTCACATAACTGTGGGTATTTCATCAGCCCCTATAGACTTCCAACTTGGTAATGATTGGAGTGCTAATCTTACTTCATCTTCTAGTTATAAGTAGGGAATATCTTCTAAGGAATCTTCAGTGTTGACTTCTCTACTGTACAGTATTTCAATATACTCCTTCCATCTGTGTTTGATCTCCTTTGAATCGGTTACTGTCTGTCCACTGGCATCCTTTAGCATACCAGTTCAAGGTTAGAACCTCCTTCTGAGTTCAGAGATTTTTTGAAAATCTTGTTGTTCCATGTCTGTTTTCCTCTTTGATGTCTTTTCAGATGTTGTTGAATACTGCTTGTGGCTCTTTTAATGGATCTCTGGAACTCTTTGCTATGTTCCTTTCTGAGATCTTTGTCTTTCTTGGCTTTGACTTCTCTTCTTGGCAATTTCCAGTTTGTTCTACATCCAGTTTGTTTTCTGTTTCTTGATCTTTGGCAATCTCTTTTCACATTCATCCTTAACAATTTCCTTAAGTTTATTCCACAGTTCCTCTGGTTCTTTATTCATGAAGTTCAGGATTTCAAAGTGATTCCTGATGTTCTCCTTGAAAATGGTGGGTATATGTTCATGATCATACTGTGGAAAGTAGTTGGCGGCTGCTGCTTCTCCTCCTCCTTCCTTGCACATGAGCAGTTCATGATCAGTTCCACAGTCAGCACCTGGCCCTGTCTTTAAAGCTATAACTGAGCTCCTCCACCTCCTTTTAAGCAAGAATATACTCAATTTGATTTCTTTGCACTCCATCTGGTGATGTCTATGTATAGAGGTGTTGATTTGGTTGTTTGAAAACAGTGTTAGCTATGAAAAAATAATTAGACTGTCAGAAATTGATAAGTTGTTCTCCTGCTTCATGTCAGTTTCTTAAGCCATACAATCCAACTACATTTTCCTTCTTAATATTTCCAATTTTGGCATTCCATTCTCCAGTCACAAACAGCACATCTTGCTTGCATGTTCTGTCAATTTCAAATTGAGCTTCATCATAAAACTCATCAACCTCCTATTTTCTGCAACAATGGTTGGAAAATAAACTTAAATTATCATCATATTAAAGGGTTGTACAAGAAGTCTAACTGATATTATTTGGTCATTGACTGGATTATAGCTAAGACTGTTCTTGCAGTTCTGTTCATTCCATCTTTCACTGTTTTGAGCTTTCCTGTGTGCACTTCCATGTTCCACTGTAATTTTGTCTTTGCAGTTTCAGATTTTCTTTTCCTGTATGGCAGCATCAGCAACTAGATATCCCAAAGGCTTTAATCTAGCCATGTCATAAAATAGCCATTAGTACTCCAAAAGATCGTCCGCTCTTCCTCAGTAGCCTGTGGAATGCCATTCAACCTAAAGGGCCCATTCTCCAGCATTATATCATCAATAAGTTTATATTTTGTATTCATGTAGTTTTCTTGATAAAAATACAGGAGTAGTTTCCCATTGCCTTATCCCACACAGTATCAATGGATGCTTTTGCCGTTGTCACTAAAACGATGCCTCCAGCATCTTCCTATATTGCTGCTGGCCAATATAGTTGCCTGCTTGCTTTAGCTGGGCAGCTGGGATGACCTTCACACTTTGATTGACCCTGCTGGGAATATATAGCCTTGGCATATATTCCTGACATCTCTCTCTAAAGACGTCAATATGGGTTTTAATTAAATACATGCCTCTTCCCCCTTCTTCTCCTCACGCAGTCCTTCTCCTGGGACACCATCATAGATTGTTAATAAATAATTTAGCATTGGCAGAGAGATTTTTCAGATTAAATAAAGACTTCTTAGTTCTGAAATTTATTGCCCTGAGATATCTAACTAGCCTTCTCTCTGGCAACCATGATATATGGAAAGAATATTTATTGTTGTTAGATTATTATCACATAAGACATTTCAGTTTTACTCTTTTTAAGCTGACTTCTATGTATTTTCTTGTGGCTATTTAGGTTGTTATCTTTTGACGCATGGGATGTTTTAGCTTAGCGTGGATTTTATTCTAATCTGTTTCTCTATGATTATTTGATTGTTGTGATTCAAGTAACTTGAATCTAAATCACCGCTGGCAGCTAATTAACTGAGTCACACTTCTCTTCCCAGGAGTGGAATTCCGCTCTGCAAGGATTAAAATCAGAGGCACTCAAAATTCTATTTTCAAAGGAGTATGCAGAGAAAGAGCATCTAAAGCTTTCGAATCAAAAAATGAACCTATTGCAACAAGAAGTGAATCGCTGTTTGGAAGAACGGAAAGCACTATTGCAAGAAGCCAATGACTTCTTCATCGCAGCGAGGAAGGTTAGTCAAAAAACAAAATTCCTAACAGAAACCAACTGTAAAGCTAAGAAAAAGGCTTGCCCTCCCTTAGATTTGTAGCCCTATTGATAAACAGATGAGGGCTTTTAAATGGTTAAGTGGGAAGGGCAGCATCTGCAAACCACTCTGAAGTTTTTCTCACACTTTCTGGCAGCAGTGCTTCTTTTTGTCCCCCCTCAATCCTATTAATGAGGTCATAGGGCACTCCCACATTGCCGGGGTTTCTACTCACAATTCCTTAAAAGCAGTTTGAAATCAACCTTTGAAACACCAAGTACATCTTGAAGCAGTCAGTGCTTCCTCCAGCTGACCAATCAGAGCCTGCAAAAAATGACACAGTAGAATCCCGTTCAATTCCCATTTGTATTTCTGGTTGTGTGCATTTTTCTGGGGATTACTAAGAAAACTGGAAGTGGATCCTCAACTGGGAGTGCAGAGGGTGGGTTTAGCCCAGGAGATGGGATGATGAAAGAATTTTCACCAAGGAGAAACCAGACCACCCCAAAGCTCCCTAGATGTCCAGTGTAGCAGAAGTGAAATTGCTTAAAAGGCAGCTTGAGATGCATCACTGTTGAACAGGAATTAATCAGTTCAGTAAGTGATTAAAGGTGACAGGGTGGAATCACACAGGTGTGTTCTAACTTGGAATGATAGAGCTATGCAGAGAGACAAAGCAAGGAGTGGTGTTGCTTCAATTTTTTGTACTCTGTCATCATGTTAGACAAAAAGTGGAGAGGGGCTTAGGGCTTGAGGAGTGATAGTTATGGAAGTTGCCATCTTCCAAACCACATGGAAGAAGCCATGGATGATTAACCCGGGGAGCTTTGTAAAATGTTATGTACCTCTCACAAAAAGTGATCTTTCAGATCAAAACAGTTAATGATAGGTAATTCCAATCTCCCATAATTTCCACACAAACATGGTTAGCTAGGTTGCCTGCATGGAATGGAAAGTATACCGTGCAAGATTTTAGGTAAGCATGTATGGAAGTGCATTTATGGAGGCAGAGCCTGTAAGGTAGGTAGAACGGTGAGCTACTCATAGGACTATAGTCTAGATGACTTATAGCAAGGATTTTGGACTCCTGGTAGCAACAAAATATCTTCCTATCTGCCTAAAATAATTCTGCCAAAATAAAGAAAGCTTGGCTTTCTGTGTGGCTAAGGTCCAGTTCCGGTGCTTAAGACAAATTATTTCACTCAAAACTCTTTTAAGTGTGCACCTTCTACACAAGGTTCTAAAAAGAGAAAGACTGCCAGAGGCCTAAAGTTTGGAGTATAGAATTTTAAAAAGGTAGAAAAAAAATGTTTGGTGACTTTCAAAATTAAATATTTAAATTTAAAGCTGTATTTTAGAGCAGTTTCCCTACTCTGATAAGCTATGTAGTTTTTTACTTAACCCAAATACTCTAGAAATCAACTACAAAATCAAGGGAATGGAGTAGGGAACTGTGTGAGAAAGAAGCCTCTTTTCCTCAGGGTTAATCCACATATATAGCTGTCTCTACAAGGTTGAATTTATTATGTGAATCTCTGTGTCAACGCTGCAGTTATTTTAATGTTAACATTCTATTTCCCATTCCAGAGTAGTTACTAAATGTGACACGGCTTTACTTCTTTATATTTCCTTGTAGGAAGTGAAAATAAAATGCAGGGAGGTTCTCCCTCATGACTTTACTGCTGGTAATTTATATTCTTAGCATCAGGATAGGCTATTAGTAAGCCACTCCTTAAAACTGTTTTTTTTTTAAAATATGTTTGGAGAGTCCCATTAGAATTATAAAATCTTCCACAACCACTAGGTCTTTCTGAAGACTATGCAGTAAAGAGCCCAAATTAGTATTTCCTTTGTTTGTTCTGTGTTACTCAGCTAAGATTGGTGCTCAAAAAATTTATAATTAATCCCTTAAAAATGTCAGTGTATTAGGGATATGCTGAAGGTATTTATGACAGTCTCTTTTGGTTGTGGCAGCTACACTTTCCAGATGGTAAGGACAAAAAGAAGTGGAAGAGTTTCAGGGAGAATTCCAAGAGAGATAAATAATTTCTCTTATAAGAACTTCTGGTACTGGGCAGTTGATGCTGTAATCCAGATTTTGAAGCTCCAACATTAGAAGGAGCAGCTGAAGAAAAGGAACTGCAGCGTGCAGACGGACTTAAGAGCTGGATGATGATTAAGATGTCAAGCCACAAAAGCAGTTCATGTTTAATATGCCCTTTCCGGAAGCCCAGATGGGGGAGTTCCATCTTCCACTTACCAGTAGAATTCATATTACTTGGGATTCATCTGGGAATTTCCACTAGGTTCTGTCTGTTGCTCCATGGCAAGCAAAGGAGACAATGGGAACTGGATTCTTTTTGAAGATCTGAATGCCTATATTAGTTTATGACACAAGATGTTCTCTAAATCAGAAGTGGAAGTTAAGTCCTGATGTTGCGGGACTTATCTCCACCCCAGCCAACATGGCCAATAAGTGATGGAAGTTGAGAGTTGTAGTTAATATCATTTAGAAGTCCAAAGTTGAACTACTCTTACTCTAAATTGAAGAAAAGAAAGCCAGAGAGAACAGCATAGCCATGTGAGGTGCTGTGTTCTTTCTTAGAGATTCTTAACACAGATTCCAGGCTAAGCTGTAATTTAAAACTATTTATTACGTAACAGTATTAGACATAGCACTCACCCACTCTCCTATACTTTACTCCTGTCCTTCCTCTTCCTGTTTGCTACGATGTCATTACATCCTTCCCTTTGTAGGTAGAAACAATGATAAACCAATTCTTCTAATGTTAGAAAATATCACAGTACCACAGAAAAAATAGACTCACAAATTTCCCTCCCTCCCTCCCTCCCTCCCTTCATCCAAAACTATGTAAGCATTTCATGAAATCTAGAAGGTTTTCTAACAAATCTGCCACTTCTAGATGTCATCCCCTCTGTGAAGGTCACCTGAGAGCTTCCAGCGTTTGCTACTAAACTGCTCTCTCTGTTCCAGCATTCTATGGTGCAGGAGTCTCAGTAATCTTGCAGCAGTCGCCAGATTAGAAGCAGAAGGGATTACCACATTGCTGCAGTTCAGTTGAGATGGAACCTTTCTCAGAAGCTTGACATTTCTAATTAAAATGCTACCATCCTTGGGGTTAGCAGGTTCAAATAAAGATTCAAAAATGCTCCAGAAGATAAGGTCATGAATGTTTTTATATGTTGGCTGAAGTTTATCACCAGCCAAATTGTTAGCAACATATACCAAGTCCCCACTTTCAAACTGTGTCATTTGACTGTACGTGTGATATCAGCATAATATTTCTTTTGGTCCCAGTATTTCTGATGATCAGCCACCTTCACTTGAGACAGACCAGGAAGGTTAATACAAATGCCCCGAGAAAGAAGCAATTTGGCAGGTGTCTCCTTTGAAGCCCTTGTGGAGTAGGATGATATGCAGTTAAAGTCTTAGCTAATTCCTTTTTCCAGTTCCCCTCCCTTCACAGTTTGCGGCCTGCAGTTTCTCTTGCTCTTTGGAAGCACAGATATGCTATAGTAATGTCACATATGGAAAAAAGTTAAAGCAAGGTAACCCACAACTGTTGTGCATTATCTGTAAACACTTCATAAGGAGATCCAAAATGAACAAAAATGTCCTGCAGTGCACTGAGAATGGCAACAGCTGAAATATATGTCAAACAAAGCTGCCTCAGGGTAAGAAGAGTAATAATCAATGACGTTGTTAAGTGGAGTCCACAAAATCAGTGCCCGATTTGGTCCAAGGAGGAGATGGTAGGGAAAAGTGGCTGATTATCATGTAAAGGTTGAATTTGCACATAAGCAGCACAATTCTTGATAAAGCATTCCACATCTGAGTCAATATTTAGCTATTAAAACTTAGCATGCAGAATCTGTTTTGTACCACATTTTGGGGCATCTCATGAGCTAACTTTAAGTATTTCAGCACTTTAGATTCAGGTACAATGTATAGGACATTCAGCAACAACATGTTTAAATGGCTGCTTGAGACCATTTGTTGGACTGAGCAATATATCAACATCTCCTGAGCAAAGCATCTTGCTGAAAAGCAACATGGAGTTATTTTAATGAGAATGCCTCAGATTCTAGCATAAATAAATCAACAGCCTGATGAATATACTCCTTTACCAATGAGTTTGATCCATAATCAGACAACGTAGACACAAAAATAATGGCCACATTTATTTTTCCAGAAATGTACTGAACAACATAATTATAAACTTATAATATGCAAAGGAGATGTTGGACATAAGGTGGCAAAATGCTGGTTTCATTTATTGTATTTGTGCAATTTATCTATCTCAGTCCTCATGGACTCTAGGCAGTTTTATGTGGCTGAAGTATGTGTATAAGTGGATGGTGGGCTGTTGACAATATAAACGAATGTCCCCACAGGTAAACGTGAAAATGTCCTATAGCTCACCCACATCACAAACCCTTTATTACACAACAGTCTTAGACATAGCTCTCCCATAGCATTCAGTTCTCCATTTTGTCTCCTTCTGCACTCCTCTCCTGAGCCTTTCCTCTTCCTGTTTGCTGCAGTGTCTTGTGGGACTCCTACTGCTATAGACAAGGCAAGAGAGCAGATTACCTGGAAGCGTTCAAACACTGTAAAGAATATACATATACTGCCTGTTATTAATTTTTTTTTGCCACATGTGTTCAAAAAACCACAGTATGAAAGCTATCTGATGGTGTGGCTTAAATTTGAATAACTTAATTATAAGAAAGAGTTCATATTTTGTTTAGAATTACATTAGCAGACACATGGAATGAATAATCCCCTGCTGTGATTTTGAAAAATTAATTAATCTTCAGGTTTTTCACATTGCTCTGAGATTACTAATTTAAATTATCCATTTTCAGTTTTTGTTCTTATATATTAAGAATGCAACAATGCATTCAATTAACAGTAGGAGTGAAAATTTATTCAATATCATTATCTCTTTCACTCCACTCGA